TTTCCAACACTATACCCAAACCTATTAACTAATCCTCTGGCCACGAACGTGTGGACTTATAACTAGTTAAGGATTCTTCCCAGCTATACTAGTACTTAATCCCTAAGTATGAAAAGTGTTTGTAAAATAAGAAAACAAAACACACTTTTTCAGTGGTGTAAGAACATTGAAAAACTGTTTATAATAACTCAAAAATAAATTCTCACAAACTATCAATAAAAGTCTTCAAGTATGATGAACTCCGATAAAATGCAGCAGCCTTCAGTTGAGTATTTGTGTAGATATATCTGAAGGCAAGAAGTCTTCAACTTTTCTTCCTTTTTGGAGTGGATTTCATTCCTTCATTAATCTTTGAAATATGACTGAGATCTTCATAAGTGGAAGTCGATATCTTCATGTCCATTGAGCCTCGACCAATTGCAAGATCTCCTACAAAACTGTTAGCACCCTCTGTTGCGCAAATTGTACCTTGACCGGGTTGAATCGCGCCTAGTTGGTTTGAACCGCCTTGATGCCTCCAGTGACCCGCAAAAAGTCGGGAGGGGTCCCAGAATACTCTGACGCTTAAGTCAGTTCAAGATTTAGCAAGTATATGTCGAGATAAACGGATCACGCGGTATGTGTGTTGTGTAAAAAGAATGAATCTGTCTCACTTTTATAGTTGAGGCTACACATAGGTCAAAGAATTCTTGTTGGACAAGAAGTCTTTCTGGTATCTATCTCTTAATTAGGCAAAATATTTTCAAATTTTCAGACTCCTTAACATTGCCAACCTCCTCATTACTTGATTACGGAATTACCAGCATAACCTGGGCTCCTAGGGGAGGTCGTCTTCCTCCGACTCCACTACACGTTGCGGTCATCCGTGCCGAGCTACGGTGGTCGTTCACGCCGAGCTCCTTCACACCGAGGGCACGCGCCGAGCTCCTTAACACCGTGGGTGCACTACGAGCGGCTACGCCGAGCCAGACTGAGCTCGGCCTATGCCCGATCTTCCGTGAACTACTATTCATGGCCATATCACCCTCTACTTGTCTTTCGAAAACCTCTAAATTTTCACAAGTAATTTTTTACTTTTCAAAAATATTTTGAACTTCTAGGGTACTTAAAGTGAAACCTCTTCTTAAACTTTCAAAAACTTACCTAAGCCATTCACTTATGTACTTGAGGGGAACTCTCTTCCCAAATATCATTCTCAAACTTCTCAAAACTCAAATCATACTTAATCATAAGAGAGAATTGTCTCATTTCCACTTATTTTTATATTTTATTAACGTCAAGGGATTTCTTATCATAACATAAAGTCTCAAACATGATTCTAAAAACAAGTCTCAAAACAATCTCATGCATAGTCTTAAAACCATGTCCAAAAGTTCATAAATAACTCATAAGTGCATAATAATAGACCACCCTCGACCGCTATCGTGTCCGACACCAACTCGACCAACCTAAAAAGTGGGGAAAAAAAGAGGAGTAAGCAAACCACTAGCTCAGTAGGAACTCATACTATGCACATATTCAGTATAATAACAGATACCATAACATAAGGGCAAATATTCAAAATTGGTCCTATAATTTGGCCACTGTCCAAAAAACCACCCCGATATTGACCACTTTTAATTTAGGTCCTATAATTTGTCGATTTCATCAATTTTGGTCCTTTTTTCATACCACGTCACTTTTTAATCCAGAGTGCGGATTAAAAAGGACCTTTCATACCACGTCACTTTTTAATCCAGGGTGCGGATTAAAAAGGACCAAAATTGATGAAATCGACAAATTATAGGACCAAAATTGACGTGCCACGTAGATCATAATCACGCCATGTAAACATTAAAAAACTGATACATCATGTCACGTCACTTTTTAATCCAGGGTGCGGATAAAAAGGACCAAAATTGATGAAATCGACAAATTATAGGACCTAAATTGAAAGTGGTCAATATTGGGGTGGTTTTTTGGACAGTGGCCAAGTTATAGGACCAGTTTTGAAATTTTGCCATAACATAAGCATACAATATGAATAACTAAAGGCACTGTTGGTATCAACGGAAAGGGCCTGCCCAACTAGGGGGTTCATCTCAGATTTTCTTCTTTCGACAGAAGAGTACTACCCAACTGCTGGAAGGTCTGTCTTATCTGCTTCTTTCTCCGGAAGGGTACTGCCCACCCAGCCGGAAGTACTGCATCATAATTATCCATACAACATACCTCAATCATAATATCGTGCGATTATAAAGAATAGAACGTAGTATAAAATCCTTACCTCGAAATGCATAAGTGACTGATGAAATGCTCAAGGTTGAGGGCTCGACTCCTCGAAATCTACATGATAAGAATTTGCGCATCATAAATATTAATTAAAACTCTTGACTTAGTTGTTTAATCATCTCTCTTCATAACTTCTTAAATTAATTAATTAATTTTCTTGACTTCTTAATTAAATTAATTAATTTTGTTAACTTAATTAATTAATTTTCTTTACTTGATTAATTTGTCTTAACTTAATTTATTTTAATTTCTCTAATTTCTCTTTTTTGATTTCTAAGTTCGTCTAAAGTCTCAGATTAATTATCTCAAAGCTCGATAAACATAAATTTAGCTCGACTAAAGCTCGACTTCAAAAATAATTAAGGCTCAGCTCATCTATTACTTTGGCTCGATTTAAAACACAACGGCTCGGAAAATTGTTGCAAATAACTTGAGGCTCGAAAAACATGAAAATGGGTATGTCGGGCTAGTCTCGGGTCTGATCGGCTCGCACGGGCCGTGACTGGTTGCTGTCTGGTCGAGCTTGGACCTATTGGGGTCTGCTAGGTCGGGCCTGCTGGGCACGCGCGGGAGATTTCTGGGGTGTTGTCTTCTGCATCACTAACAAAAAGATTTGAAAATTTTAATTGTGATGAATAAGACTTGCCATCAAATCGACAAAAAATATTGTGTACAGACAAACATTTAATAATAATAATTTGTTTATTGTTTGAATTTATATTATTTTCATGATTAAATGAGATGTAAAATATATTAACAATTACATATATAATAAAGTTTGTAAAAGGTTTTAAGGTATGAGTTCCTTCGTACATCTGACTTGTTATGAACTAGCATTTTTAAAAGCTCTAAAAGGCAAACTCATTTCCGAAATTAATGTAATCTAAAAAATAAATACAAGCTTCAAAAAGCCTGAAGCTTGAATAATACATACTATGTGGACCCATAATTTATTAAAAAAAACAAACATAATTTTGCAAATAAAAATACTTAGGTAGCGATTAATAATGGATCAAAATCAATTTTGACTTATCACTAATTTTTGTACTCATATTAATTTATAATTTAATTTAAATTTAACTCAATCAAATATTTTCAATATTATCAATATAATAAGATAATATAAATCAATCATCCTCACACATCATGCCAACTTTAACATATAATTGAACTATCTATCACTTCTAATATATTTCTTACTTTTAAATCACATCAATTTTAATCATTATATTTTAAAGAATAATTAATTACAAACTTAAAAATATCACTCAATCACCTTTATTCAAAACAAGCAATATTACTATAAAGTCAACAGTTGGCTCCATAGTGAAGTCAACCTATCTACTATATACAACAAGTAAACTATACCGTATGAATAAAATTATTAGTATTTATTTAAATAATCAAATAATATGGTATGATTTACTTGTTGTATATAGAAGTTTGGCTCCACTATAGAACTTACTGTTGGCTTCATAGAAAAACTGACAAAACAAGTCACTTTAACTTTGGATCCAATCAAAACCGATTTACATTCCTTATCAACAGTGTCTACCCAGTTTTGCTATGAAGTCAACAATTGACTTTATAGTGGAGTCAACATTCTATATACAAAAAGTAAATCATATCATATTAATAAAATTATTAGTATTTATTTAAGTAATAAGAAAATATGATATAATTTCTTTGTTGTATATAAAAGATTGACTTCACTATAGAGCCAACTGTTAGTTTTATAGTAAAACTGCTGCCCTCCAATTGTCAAGTCACTGTATTTAAAACCATGAAAAGAAAGAGAAGCGGACAGGGTGGGGAAAAAGAATTCAATTACACAAGAAGGTTACTTTCTGTTTCAAGAATATTAACCCGTCGTCTACGGGGAAGGGCATAAAAAAAGGTGACCATATATCTTTTTTGTATTCCAAATTAAATTAAATTAAATTTTCTTATTGATTTTTCTTGTGCTCATTTTATACTATTTATTAGTATATTTGTTTTGACTAGTGAGTGAATAAAAAAGGCCTCCTACCTCCTGTTCTAGTGTCATTTTCCAAGATATACTGTCGAGGAATTAAACCATACACCAAACACTCTCTTTCCCCTTTCTTCTTGCGTCTAAAAACTCACCATATCCCTAAGCTCCTTCTTTCTTTCTGCAAAATCATCTCCATTTTCAAGAATTGAAGGTAATTAAAAAGAGTTTCCTTCACTCTTCCTCTCGTCTTCTCATTTCATTTACCCTTTAAAGCAAACATACACACACCATCTTGTCTTTTCACTAACTTTTTTCCTATCACTCAAGAGAATTTAATCCCTCCCAAACAGATCTCCAAGAACCCACCAAAAAAAAGGGGTTAATTTGAGTGTTCCTTTTATCTTTTTTCTCTCTCTCTCTCTCTCTCTCAAACCCTCCTTTTCTTGTTCTTCCTTTTCCTCTTATGCTTTCTTCTTTCTCTTCAAATTTGGGCTTTGGTGTGAGGATAAAGTTATTATAAGCTTCCATTGTTTTCCAATTATTCAAAAACCCCTTTACCCTTTGTAGAGTACCATTCTCCTCTTGCCTTCCTTGCAAGACTTCACTCTCCATAGCAATTTAATCCATATATTATTATCATAACAACCAAGAAAAAGGATAAATTATCAATCT